ACACACACACACACACACACACACACACACACACACACACACACACATACACCTGTCCTAAAAAATTTTAAAGCTAACCATCCTCGACTCCCATGCCTCCTTCACAACGTTTTCTTCAATTAGCAGACAAGACCTTCCCATTAAGAGAGAGTTGGTAGAAAAATACAAAAATCAAAAGAGGGGGAAGAAAAAAAAATCATTTACTTGTAGTAGGATTTCTAAGGAAGCAACTGAAAGGTATCTTTGATGTTTAATGTGCTTGCAAATAGCAGACTTTTTAAACAATTGCTAGACTTTATACATGTCCTGGGTTGAAAATCGCACGTTAAGAAGGACTCCGGAAAGAAAGGTACCTGTGCCTTGCCCCAGTGTCTGTCTGAGTTTAGTTCACTGCCTCTGGATCTCTGTGATCCTTTTTAATCTCACAGCTCCATATTCCTTAAAATATATAGCTACCAAGAAAAGCAATAAAGGAAATACAGCCAGCTCAGATCCAGCACATACGATTGCACCTTTGAAATATTTCTTTCATGGCACTTGGGTCCACACAGGCTGTGGTGCCTCAGCCACAGGAGGACACGGACTTCTGTGGAATCACAGATGTACTCACGCTCGCTACATCTGGAAGTAGCTTGCTCTTCACGTAGACCTCCCAGACAGCATGCATCCACTCGCCTTCCTCATACGTAGACAATCAGCCTCAAGCCGAACTACCTGAATGGCACCAAAGTCTTTAATCTTGCTTGTGATCTTAAGAAAAGAGTGGGAGAGAGGGCCACACAAAAGACAGGCAAATCTAACCAGGTTTTGAGAGGCCAAGCTATTCCTGAAAGCTTAGGCAGCCGGGCTCAAGTTAGTGTACAGCCTACAGTGAGGGGCTGAAGGGAGAAGCCTGTTGCCCAAGCCGAAGCACTTTTCCTGAAAGACTGGTGGGCTGGACTGGAAAATTAATAAATACCGAAGGATGAAAGAGTTCAGGACTGATTTCAGTAGGGGAATCTGTCTCCTGGTCAGTAAAGTACAAAGGACCACCAGTCGTAAAGCATCATGGGATATCAGCAAAGAGTTCCTAGTGTAACCACGGTCAATGTTTAACACTGACAGAAAGGTCCCCTGTCTGGCTTAACCCTAAGACCTTCCAGCTGATGACTTCACCTGGGTTGTTTGTTTGTTTGGCTGCCCCCTCCCTTGTGGTAGAAAACAACTGCTTTTGGACACTTTTTCATCTTTATCCATGGCATGGTTGGAAGTTTCCACTGTGGGACCCTCTACCTATTCTCATCAGAAGCATCCTTAAATATATTTTGTTGTTTGGGTGTTTTTTCTTCTTCTTCTTTTCCTCCTCCTCCTCCTCCTCCTCCTCCTCCTCCTCCTCTTCTCCTTCATCCTCCTCCTCCTTTTTCTCCTCTTTCTCTTCTTCTTCCTTCTCCTCTTTCTCCTCCTCCTTTTTCTCTTCTTCCTTTTTTTTTCTTCCTGCTGCTGTCACTGTTTTCCCAAAAACACTTTTCTGTGCATGACTGCTCCCTGGAGGAGTCCCTTCTAATTGCTGTTGAATGACAGGCAGAACCCATAACCGCAGAGAAGCACAATGATACAAATGCCTTCCAAGGACCAGCAGACTTGAATAAGAAGGGACCGATGGGAACTGGTTGTCTGGTGTCCAGAAGAACATGGGGCACAGCATTATCATAGAGCACAGGTGCGGTCAAGGTCACAGCTCTTCCTGCATCTTTGTTCCATAGTCCCAAAGCTAAAAAGGAATCGTTCCCAGACTCTGGGTTTGCTTGCACTGAGACCAAGAGGAAGTAACATTTTCATTTCACGTGGGAAGTCAGAGAAAGGGTTGGAGCACCTCTTGTTCTGAGTCCCACCATGTCTTTACTTCCTCCTGCAGTAGGTGTTAGAAACAGAAAGGTCACTTCCTGACCAGGAAACTGGTCACCAAAAAATTTTCTTTTCTGTCACAATTTCTTTACAATAGATATATATATATAAGTAAGGAAGGCTTTGGACACTGACAGGTCTCTTTAAATACTCAGCTTGCCAAAAGAGAGTACTGATTTTCTTAACTCATGTTACATATACACACACAAGAAAAAAGTGAAATAAGTCCAAATCCGAGAATAAGATCATTTCCAGAATGAAATTGCATGCACAAATCGAGGGCAGATGATTCCTTGCCAGTCAATTCAGTGAGTCTCCAATTCTTATCATCAGATAACGCTGAAGGACAATGGATGCCTTTTGGGTTTTTTAATTTTTTTAATATTGCACTTTATAGTATTTCATAAGAGACAATTGTCTTAATTAAAGCCATAAAATACCAATAATGCATATATTCAGGGCTTCTGAATATAGTCAATAAACAGTCCACGAGTCATTCTATGTATTGTTCATTGTAAAATGAAGTTTCTCTGTTCTGTTTTTTATTGCTTACAACTACTGTTATAGACAACCCTAGTCTACTAATAAATTTTAGGTGTATATTTTAATGAAACTTTAAAAATCAAAGAAATTGTTCGTTTCATGGAAGCACTCTTCATTTTCAAAGTAGCTCGCTGCATGGTTTCTTTAAATAGCAAGTTGCACTACTACACTGAAAATGTTTCCTTTTAAAAAATCCTAGGTTATTTTTCCAAGAGTCCTTTTGCTATGTTAAGCAAGATTCACCCACGTGGAGCTTAAAATGAATGATTAGCAAATATGTGTGGAAAAATTGGGGTTTTGTGGTTTTATATAATTATATGATGGGTCTAAGAAGTTCCCTTATAAAAATGGCAATACACAACCTGTTGATAATATACCTAATTTTGTACATATCCCTGGGAGGACAAGTGAAAACAACAGCCTTATGGTGCAGGGGGTGATTAATTTTCTCTTCTGTTAAGATACAGTTTCTGACTGGGACGGTGGGTTGTTCGTATACTTTTATGCACAGATGTTCTCAAGAATAACCTTTAATGTTTTGCTTTGTAATACAATTAGAGTGAAAGCTAAGATAATGACTGAAAGGCACATAATGGCCTAGAACAATGCACCACAAAAAGATAATCTAAATCATCTACATAAGACCATGTATTAAATTAAGCAACCTCATCAGTCTTAGGCTTAAACAGGCAAGTTGCCCTAAAGAAAAATATCTGAATGCAGAGTCGGTGATGTTCCTCTATCCCAGGCCGTGTGGAAACCCAAGGCTCTCAAAGAGTCAGACTATCCATCAGGAATAGAGGGAGGTTCTGTTGAACTCTGCACAGACTCCACCATGGCCCCTCTACCTAACCTTGTTTCTGTAAGTCTCCACAAGCAGCAGTTTCCATCTTCACAGTGCAAACACAGAGAGGTGCATGAAAAAGTTACCACTGGAAAACCAGGCATGACGGCACACCTGCAACCCAGAATTTAGAAGGTAGGTAGAGCAGGAGGATCGGAAGCTCCTGGCCAGCTTTGGCTACATGAGACCCCACCTTAAAAATAACTAAAAAGTAAGATAAGGAACACTACCGTTCTGGTGCAGTGAAGCCACCACTAGCACTAAAGAAAAAAAATAAGTTATGTGTTTCTTATTTGCATATTTTTAAATATAAAATATCATTGATTTATTTATCTAAAATAGAATAGATATAAACCCTACAAAGTATAACCTGTATTTAAAGTGGATTGTGTTTAAAATACCAAAATGTAGCCAAGATATTCTGTTCTGAGCTACACAATCAGTTACTGCCGCCCATCCCTTTTCACGCACTACAACAGAGCCTATGACCCAGATTTGCTCACAATATTACACCGCATAAATACATACAATCACTACGCCCATCAAAAGAATAAAACAAGTTTTAGCATTTTTAATGAATACATCTTGGAAGAACCCAGATATATTGGAACGCCATTTTTTGTGAAGGATCTTCTTAGCTGAGGTCAGGGTCTCACACCGCCTTTGTTTGCCTGCATTTTAAAGAAGGGTCTCAACCCTCACCTTCACCCCTCAAGACTCCAGTGCAAAGCCATTGTTGTCATTTTGTGTGTTCATCGTGAGCAGTTTTCGCCGGCTGGCTAGATGTACAGCGACCCTGTGTCACTTAGGCTGGGACTCTGTCTGCACATAACCGGAATTCGGGTTGCACCTGTACATAGGCTGTTTGGAGGGCTGGGCTTCGGTCATGCGGTCCCACTCACCCTGAGAAAGGCCGTTCCTCCGTGTTCCACTGTCTGCCTCCTCATGCTCGTACTACTGATAACCAACTTACTGAATACACTTTGTGTAACTAAGTCCTCCTCAGTGTAAAAATAATAACAATAAAACAATTGACTCCAAAAAAAAGAGTGTGGGGTCTTTTTGGGGGGTGAGGGGGATGAGCCTTACCTGTCACAAGTCTCAACGCAGAATCTCATGAAATAAACACGCAGTAGCGAGAGTTTCTTTGACGCAGTTACCGTTGGTTGTGTCTTTCACTCCTTGAACGTTTGCCAGGCTCACTGAGCTTTTACGTGCCTGCGGTCATTTGTTCACTAAGAAATCTGCTCCTAGGAAACTAGGCTTTAATTAAATATATTGGAAGGGTAAAGTCTAAAAACCACTGTTACCTGTCTCAGAGGTCAATTTGTGAGTCTCGTTATTAAAAATAGACGAAGTTGTGCTCTAGATCAGGGCATGGTGGCATTCGCCTATGACCCCAGCACTTGGAAAGTGGAAGCAGGAGGATCGGGACTTCAAGGTCATCTCTGGCTGCGTAGTAAGTTCAAAGCCAATTCAGCTACGTGACACCGTGTCTCAGAAAGACTGAAAAAAAAAGTCTCATTGTAAATCTAATGTTTTTATATAAATGTATATGCTCACCTTTTTATTTGAATATGATTAATTGGCTTCTGAGTTTAAATGATTAATTTATGAATTGAGTTCTTGAACTCCCTCCAGCATCTGATAGATACATCTGTTTCTATCATATGCCTCAGAAACCTGATGGATTTACACACCAAAACAGCAAAA